TATATGTGCGTGTGTGTGTGCCTTGGGTCATTATATGATAATGCGTTTTATAGGGATACATAAATTCTTACAGCGACCTAATTGGTCCCAAGTGTTTTATGATAATCACAGATACAGCATTCACCACGACACGCGTGTCGATTGGCGTGCACATATACGTTTGCAGTACATAGGGGATAGAGTTGCAAGCAAAGTTTTTAAGGTTTTTAGTGTTTGGGTTTTATAAACCCTAAAACCCTAAAAATATCAAAGTGTGTACTTTGAGATTAATTGGCAAATAGTTTAAAGCAAAAGAATCGAGAAATAGTGAGATGAGATGATACACCAGAGCATTGCCAATGCCACGCAATACTTAACACGCTTCACGCAGGGCCGACAGCCCACACTCCACACACAGCACATAGCCCACACATGCACACACCTTAACCTATTAATCACACATGCAAAAACCTTAACCTATCAATCACACATACACACACCTTAACCTGGAAGATACTCAGTCCGTTAATCCACGCCACAAAGCGCGTGAGTGTGGTCTTGCCAGACCCACTGACGCCAATGAGCAACAGATGGCCCTGCGGCTGACGGAAGACGCGGTCAATGCGCAGCACGTGATCAAGCACTTCGTTAAACAGCACCAGAGGCACATCCAACTCTTCCTCATAGAACACCTGAGGACAAGACCGGGCAGGGGGGAGGGTAGGTAGGGTAGGGTTGTGGGGGGTTAGGGTTTTTGAGTTGGTGCAAGGTTGGTGATCGCCTACGGTATGCGATGTTAAAGTGCCGATTTATTGTGACAGTAGGACTTCTATATTATATGTGTGTGTATGATTGTGATAGTAGGTCTTCTATATTATGCGTGTGTGTATGATTGTGCTAATATGTTTTCTATGTTGTGTGTGTGCGTATGGTTGTGATAGGTGTTGCACTGCAACAGATTAATTCGGATGTCTTGTATGTTATGTGTGTGCGTATGATTGTGATAGTATGTCTTCTATATTGTGTGTATGATTGTGATAGGTATTGCACTGCAACAGATTCTTCTATGTTATGTGTGTGTGTATATAAGGGTTCAGTTATGTGTGTGTGTGTATTAGAGTTTGGTTATGTGTGTGTGTATATTAGAGTTTAGTTATGTGTGTGTGTATATTAGAGTTTA